ATGTTGTACTTTATTTTATCTTTCTTTTTACAATATTTTAAATTTTCTTTCACCTTCATTTCACAAAAAAAAAAAATTCCATAAAATAAAAAAATTATTTTTTTGAATAATAATATGAAGGTAGGTACCATAAGGATACATAAGAATTAATGGTTTTTAATTTTATTTAAAATGAGCTTCTCATCCAATTTGTTTCATCAGGATGTGGTATTTACAGTAAAATCAAGAAAATACGAACTGCGGAAAATGTTCTTAACAAAGAATTTTAATATTATTCAAGTTTATTCAATGTTAAATAATTAAAATTTCTTGCTGTATAATGTCGCTAAAAATTCCTCATTTGAAGAATATTACTTTAGGTGACGCTCTCTTCAATTACCAACCTCGTAAAAGTGTTCCAAAAATATTGATAAGCTTATGTATAGTAATTACAAAAATTATTCTAATTATAATATTATTTCTTTCACTTATCGGGAATGTACTTCATGTATAGAAAAGTAAAAAAATGTATGTAATAAAATAGCCTAAAAAAAATTAATAAAAAGATAACTAAGCTAGAGGTTAAATTTAAGACAAGTATAATTTATTCCTTCCTTTTTTAATATTGTTAAGAAGACTTGAAATAAACGATAATAAATTTTTTACTATTATGTTTAATTATAGAAATATTTTACACACATATATATATTATGTACATATATATACATATAAATGAATTATTTCTTTAACTGGTATTAAATTTTAAGGGTTTTCAACAATTTAAAATGTAATTTATACTTTAAAAATTGTAAAATGTGTAAAATTTTTTGAAAAAAAAAAATAATGGTTCTGTTTTAATAGCTTCCTTAATTTCAATTGAAATTAGTTTAAAATAAACCGGATCATCTTAATTAAATTTTCGCACTTTAAATTTTTATGTAGAAAAACCATTATTAAGTTTTAATTATTGAACAATTTTGGTTATCTGTATAAATTTAAGCATAGTACTCAGCAGAAAAGAAACAATAGTATAGTCTGTTGAATTAATTTCTTTTTTTATTACTAATAATCTATTCACACACTACAACGAATAATTGGTTATTCTCGAATGCGTTGTGTTTAACTACAAATTTCACATGGAAAAAATTTGTCAAAGTAAAACATGCTAGTTTTTCAAAACCTGTTTTTCTATTGAGAAAGATTGGTTTTTGAAATTTTTTCATGAAATCAAAGAAAAGTGATCAAATCAAGTGTGAATTCAATTTTCTATAAGTAAAAAAACATTTTACTGTGACTACTGCCATCTATTGAGAAATACAATAATATAAATATTTCTTAAAAATATAGGTGCTACTCGTACTTCGAAAACAACAATAGTTTTTAAGAAATTTTTGTAACAAAAAATTTCTTTATAGCTGTTTTTATATGGTTGTTATTGATATAAATCTTAGACCAGAGTTTGAAGAACTTATGGAAAAGCAGAAAGGGTTTCTTTGCCATGATCCGACTTGACTGTTGTTTCAAAACAAACCGACGCTTTTCATGATATCATACAAGTTCATTCTTGTGTAATTTGGGAGCACATTTACTTTATGTATGACTTTAAATTACTCATTTTGTTATAATAAATATAAAACTTGTTGTCCTTATCCAATCTTTATTTATTTAGTTATATGAAATCCTGATCTATAGAACACTTGGTTTATTTTACTAGAGTGGAAGTACAGTGAGAGAATACGAATTTTATTTATGTATGTTATAATCTAATAATTTAAAAATATAAAAGGTAAGATTTTAAAAGAAAATTCCGTATTATTATCTTAAATTAAATCAAATGTGTGCAAATTTTATTCATCAACAATCGAGTTTTTTGTAATTGAGTGAGGAAGTGAATTTGTTTCAATAATACTTTTTGAGGAAACCTATAATTTTTGCATATTAATTATTTAATGTGCAATAGTTATATCCGACTTATTACGAGTAGTGAAATTTTTTGAGTATGTGAATGAATAAAAAACAAATATTGGGCTAAACTGTAAAGAATTTTTTTAATTTTTTCATTTCCTCCTTTTTCCAATTTGATCTGAGAATAATAAAGGAATCTGTAATCGTAAGCACAAACTTATATCCCTGAAGGTATGCAAAATATAACATAACTGGTAAACCTTATACCCTTATTGCAGAATAATAAATGTTTATTAATAAAAATTCTATCATTTTGTATTGTATTAGTTCTACTCTAATATTATAAATTTTCTACCCATCTTAAAATATTAGGATTTTCATATAATTGCGAACATATTTTATGTAAATATTATGTGTTATATTGCATATAGGAATATGTACATTATTTTTGTATTATACATTTATAGTAAAATACAAATATAAAGATTTGACTTTAGACTTAAAATCTCATATCCTTATATTTTTTTCATAAAGGAAACAAAATAGAAAATTGCGGGGTATGGAAAGAAAATAAGAACAACAAAAAATCTTAAAAGTTAAGTCCATCCCTGTTGAGTAATGGTTTATTTTATCGTGATTATTATTTTTTATTATCGCTGGTTATAAAAATTTATGTTTAAATAACCATTTGCAATCTATATAATAAAATGGTTACGAAATAAAAAAAAAAAACACGAATTTATACTCATATATACTTACACACTACACGCAAATATTATAAGAGGTAAATTTGTATTTGAAGCTTATAAATGGAATTTTATAAGGAAAAAGAAATAAACAAAAATGAAATAATAAAAAACCAAAATGAATAAAAGGAAAAAAAAATATCAAAAATATTAAAAGGACCTCAATACAATGATATAATCTTTTTTTTTTTTTTTATCTTACATATATGGTAGTTGTTTTGTGTGAGCAGTAAAGACATGTGTAAAGAATATAAATTTAAATTTTTTTATATTTTATTTTTGCTGTTCAACTCTTGGACCCCCGCATATAACTTTTATTCAATATATAATATGTACATATGTATATATATACAAATATTATGTGAAAATACATATTTGTATATTTATCAATTACTACTACATAAAAATAAATTTTTTTTTTTAGCATGTCCTCTCTTAAAGTCACGTATAAAAATAAAAGATTAAAAATATATTTTATTACCATTGGAGCAAAAGCGCATACCCTATACCAAAAATGGAGAAAAAAAAATTGAAGAAAAACAGGAAAATTATGTATTTCTTCATCTTTTGTTTGTTTGTTTGTTTTCTTTTTTTTTCTAAAGTCATAAAATTCACATTCACTTTATTCTTAAGATAAAAGTACATATTTTTTCGTTATTGTCAACATGAGTTAAGAAAAAAAAAGTAAAAGTGATCAAATATACCGTATATGTAATACGTACATAATAGGTACATAATTATGGTATATAAAGTATTATATGTATACATGTATAATATGCAAGCATATATGAAAGTATTACCATATATAAAAAAAAACACAACGGTTCTTAAACATAAAATTATAAAAAAAAAATAAAAATTATGAGGGTATGAAATCTAAAATGGTTAAGGTGATGAAATATAAGTGTATTGCAACTTAAGTGTCATATTTCATACGCAATACAATACAATAACGTCACATATAACAATAAAAAAAAATTCTATATATGAGTCGTTGTATGTCAAGCTATGTGTACTTATATTTGATTATGATAAGGGTATAATTCTGTGTTCGATTTAAATTGTGTTATTTTTATCCTTTTTTTTTTTGTTTTTTATGTAAATAAATTATAAAATTTTCTTGAGAAAATAAAAATAATAAAAAAAAAACATCTTTTTTTGTCGTATATTACGTACTACCATGGTAATAACGTGTACAATACAAAATATGGTTTAGAAAAATTTAGGAGAATTTTTTTTTTTAAATATTAACGCCTATAATCTTCGCTTTATATTAATAAACATAGACGTATATGACATACATATGTGGGTGAAGAGATGTAGTAGTATATGTGGGTGAAATAGCGTAAATTATTCAACACATATTATATGTTTCACAATAACTTGTTTACATATAGGTTTCACAAAAATTGATATTCAACGATGTGCATACAATTTCATTTTAAATTAATCCCCAATTATATTTATAATTTGTTGGAATTTATATTTTGCTCACTTAATGTATATAACATTAGCTTAATTTGACGCTTTAATTATCTCCCAGTCCATAGAATTTTACATAAATATTATGAAGAATTTTAATTTGATTTAATAATCTTTCCAAATTAAATTTTGCTCGTAATTTTTGTCATTAAGAAAATTTCGTCAGAAATTATAATACAAGAAATTTTATTTTATAAATGTGAAGTGTCTGATACCTGTACTATATAGCCTAAAATATCTCTTAAATTATTTAACTGCGTATTTAAATGAATTGTTGTGTTATAAATTTCAGTTAGCAATATTAACAAGTAAAAAAGTTTTTTACCTTATTATATACAATAGCAGTTTGACAATTAAAAAATAATTTAAAAAATTAGAATTAGCTTCCATTGTTGTATGGCAATTACCCAAATCAGTCAAGCCATTCCACCAAAACTTGAGGAATTAATTCAAAATTAGCTTTTGGAAATCGATATTATACCTTTCACGAAAGTGCGGGGTATAAAAAATAAAAGTCTTTAAACTGAAATCACCAATGTTATTTGCTTCCAATTAGTAATTTTTGAAAATATTGTGAATTTTTACCAGTACCAGATTGTGAATTTTTAGTGGCTGATAGAATTACAATAGCATACGTCCTATGATAAAATTAAGACGCATTTTATGGAAAAATAAAGCAACCGATATTTAATTACTGAATTTGGAGCAAATAATTAACGAAAAAAGTAAAATAAATAGAACATTTTATTATTTTCATTTTTTAGAAATTCGTAAAAGAGACTTTTTTCCCTGTCTTTTATTTTGTTCATTAGATTTCAGAAAATATAAAATAAAAACAAACCTGAAGAATCTAAAATCAAATATTTTTCATTTTATTGTATTTTTTAGCACCTCCTGAACGTATTAGCATTCGTGATGATTCTGGTATTGAAAGATCCACAGTAGTTGGGCCATACAGTGAGGGTGATGTTGTTTCACTGAAATGTGAGGTTTATGGAGGTGAGTAAATTTATCTACTTTTTTTCTTTTAATATTCTTCGTAGCTCATATGTACCATATTTAAATATGGTAAGCAATTTGTTTTATACACTTATTTAAAAATAAGCACAAATTTGTATAAATAACAAATAATTGCATTTTTATGAAGTTGCGAAATTTTACTTAAAATTAATCCTTGTTACATATTTTTAAATTATTGAATTCATTTGTCAAAATATCCGAAAATGATACAGATACGCAAGCTAACTGAAACTAAATGGTATTCCACTCCGGTTAAAGTCCAAATACCCTGCATTTTAAAAATTTTAAAAATTTAAACTTTTATTTGGAAATATTGTATGTAAATTTCTGCAAATAATTTTCAATGCAAAAAAATTTTGATTTATTTACATAAAAAATTTTAACTTTTTCACCTTTCGATTCAAAACTTGCTAGTGGAAATTTGAAAAACAAAAAACTTTTTCAAAAGTAACTATAAACACATTCCAAGAATAACACTATTGGTTCTTTCTATCATAACAAATTTTTAACATGTAATTAAAATTTAAACTAAAATATAATGTGTATAACAAAAATATGTAGTTATACACACTGTATTCAACCGGATGAATGAATGCATAAACAAATATGCTCGTACTTATTCACTTATTCACATTTGAACTCTTCATCATTAATAAAATATTCCAATTTGTACAAGCCAAAGGTTATTTACATTCATAAAGAGATTCACAAACAAATTAAAAAAAAAATATTTTTTTTTAAACAAAACAGATGTCCTTTTTTCATCTTACTCAGAAAAATAATATTTGTTTTTTGTTTTTTTCTTTATAAAAAATGCACTTACATGTAGGTAAACCAACACCCAGTATTAGTTGGTATCGTGATGGTATACCAGTTGCATCAGAAACTAATATTGTGCCAAATGCACGCTATGTACAAAGTGAAATTTCATTAGGTCCTCTTGGTAGAGAGGATCTTAAATCAAGACTGACATGTAGAGCAAATAATCATCCAAGAGCAACTCCATTAGAATCAATTGTTGAAATTGATATGAATTGTAAGTATATATAAAAAACGTTCTTTTATGTTTAAGTATGCGCAAATTTTCTTTTTAAAATTTTTTTTTTAAGTATGTTAATATGTATTTAATTATGTAGGTATGACATAGAAAATTATATAAAATGATTTTCTTTCTTTTATTTGTTAAAAAAAATTATTAAAAAATTATTGTGAAAAGCTCATATTTTTTTATAATTACTCGTTCTTAAAAAGAATTTTTATGGTTGTCTATGAATAATTTTGTAGTAAACAGTGCAGTTTTGAAATTGAAAATTCTTGTACAACCAATGAGTTGAGTTCTCATCCAAAATTATATTAACCTAGCAAAAATGTATGCAACGTGAGTGGTATCTGGTTTAGAAGACTTTATTAAAAAGGGAAACGTGTTAATTAAAATGTATGAGCAGCAGCCTTAAACAAAAAAGATCTACATACATACATATTTTTGTAAAGATGTTTTAGACTGCATACCGCTGTTTGCAATCCATTGAAATATTTGTTTGAAAGTCATCCGAAAATCTACTCCAAGGAACCTGTAAAATTCAATTCAAAAATAAAATTTAATTTCAATATTGGAACATAGTTTTGATATTAGGAACATCTTAATCGTTAATAAAGTTTCCATTCATCTTTAGACTTCAAATTGATTTAATTCTCCACTGTAAAATTTTACGCAATGCTTATCCGCCTTTTATGAAATCTTTGTAGGTTTACTATTTCTTTATAGGTCTACTATAACAAAATTAAATTTTACATAAAATTTGAATAACCACTACGTATTAAAGAAGTCGTTTTTTCTAAAATTTTCAATAAACACCTACAATGAAATGTAAAAATAAGAAATGTCATTCATCCGAGTTTTTTATGGTAATCAATTTAATAATTAGAAAAAAGAATACTTCCAAAAAAATGTTGTTTTCACCGAAAAATTGAATATTCATAAATGTCCAACACACACACAATTTCCTTTTAACACGTTAAGTCCCACGCTTACCGGTGAACAAAAAAAAAATTTGTGTTATGTCCTAATGTTTCACAAGTGAACAAATTCAACTTGGATCCGGTGAACACAGAAAACCATACAGAAAGTCTAACATTTATTTCAGGAGAAATTTCTTAAATTAAGGAAACTATTTTTTAAAGAAGCTATAAAATATTAGAAGTTCTGTTGTCCTTTGAGAGTAATTGAAATTAAATTCTTGCGACTTAATTAAGGAGCTGTAAAAAAATTGCTACTCTAAAAATGTTCACCGGTGATAGAATGGAAATCAACGAGTTAAAAATTATGATTATTATTTTATAACTTTTCACAGAATTATTTTAATACTGAATAACCTTTCAAATTTAAACTGTGACCTTTCAAGCAAAAAAAAAAATATCTTTCAATTATATTTGAATAAATTTAATCCTCACATCCTTAAATTTTACTTGTAAACAGTTAACATTCTCTTACTACTTTACTTTTACTCTTTTATGCTGATAAGTATCACAACATTAATTTTTTGATTACAAAAAAAAAAAAAAAAAGAGTACAAAATTGAAAAAAAAAGAATTACAAAAAAAGTAAATACCGGAAATTTCCATTTCATGTTATGTCCATTCCTACCATTTCCGGCGATGAAAAAAAGAAAATCAGAAAAAAAAAAAATAACTAACCACATTTTCATTTGCTCCTTAAATAATAATATGCCTTTAAGATTTTTTTTTACTCTCCTTTCTATGCTGTATTTTAAGAATTTTTTCATTGTCGTATATAATATTTTCTTATAATAACAATTTACATAATATACACATTCCTATAACATAACTTATATACCTACATAATTATTACTTAAAAAAAAATACAATATTTTTGAAGAATTTTTCCTACTATAATAACGGTTTGAACTTTAATATCGATACACTGATTTACCGTTATTATATAAATGACATATTACAATAAGAATACCAATATATGTATAAATATATGTAAAAATATATTAATGTAATAATGCTGACCTTACAGTTAAAAAGAAATGACACAAAAAAAATGAAATCTGAAAGTTATATCTGAGCGGGAAAGTTATTTATTTGATATTTTCGTAGTATACCAATTATGTTTATATTCACATGTACTCGTAGAACATCAGAATGATAGAATAATCGTGGAAATCGACAGATGTCCTTTATAAATATCGACATATTCAAAAATTAAACTAAAATTTTTTTTCTTCCAATGAGCACAAAGAAATACAATTTTTTTTTTATAATATTGTTTTACATTATTAGAAAATCATTTACATAATATCATATTAAAATCTTGATTGACAGATTCTGTAATCACAAAATAACTACACTGAATTGAATTAGAAAGTCTTTTAAAAGAAACACTAAAATGCTCAATAAAAAATTTTATCAAATGTGATTAAATTAATGGTCTAATGGAAAACCTAGTGACTTATCGATTAATGTTCAAATTCATGAATATTAATGATCAAGTTTTTAATAAAATTATTGACTATTTAGTTGTTAATTCCAAAACTTCGTGAGAAAGCAAAATGATTGTATATGTTTCTGGTTTTGATAGAAATAACTTAATATGGTAACGTTTAGCTACCAAAGCGTAACAAATGCATTTTGCAAAATTATGACCAATTTTCAAATTTACTATTACGTTCCCAATTTCTTTAAATTCAAATTTTTAAATTTGTCTTGAATCTGCTTCAATAAATTTTAATTAAAATTTGTCACCAAATTGATTTATTTTAAAACACCAATTAGATCTAGTCATTTTGTTTTGGAAAATATTCACAAATTTTAATTAATTTTATAGAATTAGAAGACATGTGGTAAGTCTGACTACAAATTTCATTTTAACCTACTTAATATACGATAATAAATATACTTTACATACTATAATTAAATATTCATGACCTACAGAATTTTTGCTACCCTTTACTTTGTGCTTCTCCCTATGATTTTTCTATACCATTGTTAAATGAAAAATATAGTTTAATTCAACAATTGAATTGCCCCTTAAAAACAATGAATACAGTTGTTTTTTTTTATTTATTTATTTTCTTTTTTTTGTTTTTATTATATTATTTTGGTTAATGAAATTTTCAGAAATATATAGTAGTTAAACACGATAATATATGTATATGTGTGTTGTATACATTCTTATGGTAAAAAAAAATATTTTCCTTAAGTATTTGCTGTTATTTTTCTTTTTTGTTTTTTAGTAATTTTCTTATTTTCTCCTTTTAAATATATTTTCAGTTGCTCCATTAAACATAAAACTGCTGGGAGCACACCAACCATTATCGGCAGGACGTAGATACGATCTTTTATGTCAGAGTTCTGGTTCAAGACCACCCGCTGTAATAACATGGTGGCGAGATGGACAACGGTTAGAGGAAACTAAAGAAACGGTAATAATATACAAAAAAACATTGATATAAGAATATATACATATAAATACATACATACATTACATAATATTATATATACATAACTATGCACAATTACTTTTTTAGTTTGCTTCTTATATATAAAAATTGGCAGGAAGCATTTAAAATTGAAATATTTGGAAATGAGAATTTCCGATTCTTAAAAAAATAGAATGGAAATTTATTATATTTATTACAATGTATGTATGTGTATATATATATATGTACAAACAAGTTATTATTAACATGCAGATTGTTTATAAATAATATGATTTTTGGTTTAATGTATTGTGTGTGTGTCTTTATTAAAATTTAGAATTGGTTATGTTTTATTTGACGAACAGTCATTATTTTCACTTAAAGTGCTTGATATGATTTTTTACATTTTTACGAAGGGGGTCCTTGAAATTTTTTTTTCTACTTTATTCTAATTTTTTTTTTTTCCTTGTTAACGGTTTGTTGAATACCAAAATTATATACTATATTGTACTGTTATATTTATTATATAAATTATTTCTAGATTCTATATTATTCGTAAAAGTAATTGTTTTTAGAGGGAAATAATTCGGAAAATACATTTATATTATCAGTAAGGAAAAAGAAATGTGTATACATACATATATATAATATATATATGTATTATATTATAATACATTATAAATATACTCTTCAAACAGTTAACCACCTACTGTGATTCAATTTATTTTTGATTTTATTTTATAAATACTTGTATTGTAGTGGAATAAATGTAATTTAGTTTTACTTCTTCACTTTTTCATATTATTTTTTCTCTTTTATTTTTTTCTGCTTAATATTCAAAAGCATAATTAAGTGTGGATACTTAAGACTTAATAATTGCTTTACAATATGAAAAAAAAATTTTTTTATGATGATGGTATATAGAAATACGATTATGGTGTTGAGTCTTTCAAATTTACTCCTATTGTTTCTTCTATCGTGTATATGCGGGGGAATATTATTTCAATAACGATTTTCTCTTAACGAATTTATTTAATCTATTATCCGAAATCTTATATAAATCTAAAACAGCTCCAAGTGTAAGATTATTTTTATTTTAAGAAATTTATATAAAAATAATGAAATAATATATGATTGAAAATGGATTTATTGAAAATTTGGATTGTTTTGGTAGGGGTGTCCATTTCTCACCCATAGTGTACAATAAAACTGAAAAAATAAATCGGGTATTTATAATAATGCTATAGGAAAATCTATAATGTTATACCAAACGATACCAGTGTAATATAGACTAAACAGACTAAAAACTAAAATATTAGCTTACAAAATTTAGGCTACAAAATGTAAGAAGTTTGCCATACGCAAAAGAAGAATTTAATAATAACATTCAATTCATATAATTTGCGTACGCAACTGAATTTATTTAAAAAGATTGGGTTGAGAAAGTTTATTTTGCTTTATACGTACTGTTTTAATTAATTATTTTGTAGTTTTATTTGGTTAACTTCACAACCACGAAAAGATGATTGTTTATTGGTTATGCAACTCTTTTTGCGAATTTTGCCGAGACTCATGAAATCAATTTCCAATACAATATAAGCCACGACCGCGTCACAGAACATGATATTTCTATAGATATGTCTCTTCAAATTATACCAGCAGCTTCATTAATTTCTTAAGATCGTATTTTGATTAGTTCTTCTTTTTCACTCTGTGTAAAGCGAAGACGAAGTTTTAACATACACAACTATTCATTTCTCGTAATTTCTTTCAATCAGGTTTTAGTGCACTTTCAGCGATTTAAAACCCAAATTTGTAAGTTCACTGTTACCAGTCATTCAAATTATTACAAATTATATTATCCATAAGCATAAATCTATGCATATTTTATTGATCAATTAAATCAAAATTGAAATTCTCTATAAATATTTCTATATTGGGCAATATTATTTCTAAAGCCATGTTTTTCCCATTATATTTGCTATGAATACTTTAAAAATTTAATTTTATTACTTCATACATATATGAGACCAGAAAGTATTGCAATTTAAAAACCTCACAATTTCTGTATACAACTTTAAATTTACAATATTGTACCTGAAATAGTCACATAAAAATTTATAATATCAACAAGAATACGATTTCGTACGATGCGATAAATAATTATTTTTCCATTTATAACGCTTGTTAAAAAATATTTTTCGTACAAATTTAAATTTCAGATTTAATTTAGAAAATTGTGTGAAAATGGAGTATACTTTGGTCTTTGACTATATTTTGAGGGCATCATTCATAAAAGAATCAAGTTAATAATAAATTTAAGAATACCGATACTTAACTAAGTCCTGAAAAGTTCATTACACAACTGACATCAAACATTTATATTTTGTTCGCTATACCTTACTTCTCTAACTCCTGAATGTCGTACTTAATCTGCACTAAATTTTGAAAACAACTTTTATTTTGTGATGCCATTATTCTTGTTTAGCATGCAAAGATTTGAAAATTTTGAGTGTACAAGTAAGTTCTCCGAATATCCTGTATTCCGCAAATCTCAACCAAATTACTAAAGATACGTGTATTTATGTATCTCAAATTGAATTTTAAGTTGGTGCTAATACTATTTTTGTTTATAGAATTTTGCAGTTAACTTTATTATTTATACAGTTTCCCTATACATAACCTGACCAAATATACATTTCATTTTAATGTGATTTTCATTCTCTTTTATTATAATTTTTCAACTTAAAAAAATTTTTTTTGTCTTTTTCTTTTTTGTTTTTCCTACAAAAAAAAAATGCAGACATCCAGCGATGGAAATCAAACAACAAGTACGTTGTCAATAACACTCAGTAGATCGGATGCTGGAAAATATTTATCCTGTAGAGCATACAATCAAGCTGTACCATCTGATCCATTAGAAGATGGTTGGAGATTAGATATACAATGTAAGTTTAATTGAAAAAAGAGGAAGAAAAATAAGCAAATAAAATTTGAAATTTTAAAAATGAAAAAAAAAAGAATAAACGGTAAACATATACATACATACATATGAAATATGAAATAAGGATACATTATATACGTATTGTTCTGTTGTTACGTCTACAATATGTAAATGTGTATATGAAAATAAGAAAATCTACATTAAAAAATGTAAATTTTACTTCGTTTTTTTTTGTATTTAGGTGTGTATTATATGTGATTTCATATAATATTTATATATACAGATGTAATATGTGTAGTTAACAATTTACGAATAAAAAAAGTGTAGTTTTTTATTTGTACCATGAGAAAAAGTATATTTTATTATTTATCCTTTATGCTGGTTAATTAAAAGTCCAGTAATTAAAATACGTTTTTTTCATTCTTTACTCGTTTTTTTTTTTGCTGCATTAATTATAAAAAAAAAGTTTATAAAATAATGAAGGTATAGCATGAATACGCTGTACATAAATAGTTAATCATTTAAGTGTATATAGGCTATATAGTTTCTACTTTAAAGAAATCTTTTTTTGTGTGCTTTATAAAAAAAAAATTATAAAAATTTTCACTTCAATCTGGTATCGTCCACATCCCACATTAAATCGTTTTAAAACATATAGGATAATGCCACTAAATTTATGTATACACGCAATATCATTAATATTTTTTTTAAAATGACAATTTAATTTGTTGTTTTAACAACTAGAAACTTCTTATAGTTCTGAATCAGTTTCATGATAATTTTTTAATCAAAGCTTATTCGGAAAAATTCAATTCATCAAAGTATGATAAAATTGATCCTAAAGTTTTCGATTATTCGAAATAAATAAGTTATACCTACATATTACATAATAATTATTAACTATCAGCTCTTTTTTTCAAATTTAAATTTTTCATTCTTATGGGAAAATTCTTTTTTTTTTATCCTAATTATTTGAATATTCATTGACATTTTAATTTGTTTAAAAAAATGCAAGCTTTTCAATTTATAATTTTAAAGTTAAATTTTATGCTGTAATAATTTTCTTTTAATTATTAAAAAAATTTTTTTTTTGTTGTAATAATTTCCTAATTAAAAAATTATTAAATTCAATGTACACATAAATTTAATTTATTCTGGAAAATTAGCAAATGAATTTTACAATATCTGATTGACAAATATATACATCATACATGTTATGTAACTGTATGACAATGTACACAAGTATGTATATATAAATGAAATGCCATCACATTCCTATATATGCACTTATTGTACACACTATTATATAAATATAAATTTAATAAAGTTTTAATTAATTTACAGTCGCAAATATAGAATAATTTGTCATTTATTTTAAGTTAGATAATTTATTGGAATTGACATATACTAACATGCAATGTACTTATACATGTGTGAATATTGTTAATTCTAATGTGCGGCAATAAAATAATAAAAAAGTTGTAATTCTTATGCTACATACAGAGTGATTCTGAAAGGTATACAACAACATACTGCATTGGTTAGAGAATCGAAAATGAGTAAAACATTTTCCGAATCCGAACTGGGTGCCAAATCTCAAGGGTTTCCGAGTTCCAGGGATTTAAACGAATTTTCACGAAATTTTTACTTATCCAAGTTTTTTTTTGATTATATAACTTCCGTTCTGAAAAGGCAAATCAAATTTTTCCCTTGCTTTATTTTTTTAATTTTTTCTAACTAGATAATTTCGTAAGAAATGTTTTAAAACCTTGAAAATATTTTTCATAGAATTTTGCCCAGCCGTTTAAGCTTTAATTTAAGTCGTCAAGAATTAAAAAAATTTTTGCGGTACAGAAGATATAGCACAAAAACCACAAATATTGTGAGCCAAAAATTTAATTAAAATCAAACCAGATATTGATAAAACTAAAATTAAATTCAATTTAATATTCTTTCCAATAATTTTACAAACTTCTCACCAGAACAAACACCAAATTTTCCTATGAAATTCACCTAATTCGGAAAAAATTTATGTTTTTCTTCTTTCAAATCTATTTCTATTCAAATTAATTGCTTTGCTGGAATTCTTCTTTAGTTGCATCAACTGTATACCAATTTTAGTTTTTGTAGAAATATGTTTGAAATTTATTGACCTTATTAAATTATTTATTAGTAATTATTAGCTTAATAATGTTAATACCATATTATTTACAAACTCCATTTTGTGTAAAAAATTAAATTTTCCTATTAAAAAAATTTTTTTTTCTAATAAAATAAATGTCAAAATTTATATGACATACCTTTAAAAATTCGTTTCAGCTGGATAATTTTACTAACTCCAGGTGCCAAATGGTGTCTAGATTCCAAAAATTATTTTTTCTAATTTTTAAATTGCACCCAATCTGAGAAAAATGCATTTAAAAATTTCAAACCATATAGGTACCATTTCTTATAAAAACTGGCAAAATAAAAAACCTATCAATTTTTTTTACCAAGAAAAATTTCGAAAAAAAATTTTTGATTACTAGATTTTTTTTTTGTTTTTCCTAATAGTAAAAATTCTAGTTTTTCTTTTCAAAAATTTAAAATTTTTTTTTAAATCAATTTTAGTTTTTCAATTAAAAAGTTTTTGTAAAATTTCGTTTCAATTTTGTTACAGCGTTTAATTGTTTCATGTTTCATTAATTACAGCGTTTAAAATCAAAAATAATGAAAAATAGGGCATTTAAAATCTTGACATTGAAATGGTTTTTGTGCTAAATTGTCTGTACCATACTGCTGGGCAAAACTCTATAAAAAAATTTCTAATGAAATTGTCAGTCCGGAACAAATGTTTTACCCATTTTTAATACTCTAACCAATTGAATATGTTGTTGTATAACTTTCTGAGTCACCCTGTACATAAAATATGTAACATATTCTTCTCATCATGTCGAAAAAATATTTGAACTGGATAGTGAATTGAATTGTCAATCATTAAAAGCATTTTTAATTGAATTTTTTTTTTTAATTTATAACAAATCAAAACATTTTGAAATAAAATATTTGCAATTAATTTTTCAATAAATTTTAATTTTAAGGATTCTTTTAAAATATTCTAAATATTCTATACTAAAATCTATATATTTAATTAGATAATCTATAGCACTATACTAAATCTAAGTTTTACAGATCTATTCGTATAGAAACAATTTGTTTTACTTTGGCTTATTTAATCGACAATTAATATTTAGTAACGGTGAAAAATATAAATTTTAGATATTTATATAATTTTTTTATAAAATTTTAAATTCAACATATAATTGGTCAACTGTTGTACATAACCCATTTGTAATGAGAAGGCAAACACACGTTTATAAATTTTGGTTAACTCACTGGTTAAAGAAAATAAATTACGACCCATTTAAAATCTCATGCAACAACCTCCTATGGTCGAAGATGAGAAGAAAAAACTAGGCTCAATAAAGTGACCCAAAAAACTGTTGAAATAGAAACTATTATACAAATAGAAAAATTTCCTCTATTTTCAAATTTAAATCGATACTTCTACATACTTATGTAAGTATATGTAATTACTTTATGTATATTCTTATTAAAAAAAAAATTGAACTTAAAAAGTAAAAGTAAAATTATTCCGCAAAAAAATTGGAATATATTGAATTTGCATTTAAATTATTCAACGTTATTCAACAATTATTGTTCCTAATGTCATATACATAATAATTAAGTATGTAAGCAAACATATCTATGCGAGACCTCCAAAGCTCAAAGCTAAAATTATTTTACGAAATTCTCCGAAGTAACAAAATTTATAAAAACAATGTGATCCAAATGAAATATTTTTGTTCAATTAAATTAGGTAATATTGAATTAGTTAAGGTAACTTTGATTTTTTTTTTGTAAATAAACTAATTTTTTTAAAAAATTGCAAGCGTCTAGTATTCAAAAAATATGTAGAATCAGAAGAGTTAAAAATATTATATAATTTCCTTCACGTAATAATTTCCGACCACCCTTGTCTTTTCCATACAAATTTGAAAATTATTTTTGAATTAATCTTTACGCTTGCGTTAGCCGCCTTATGAATGTCTTTCTTATAAACATTCTACATATTAAACAGTTATACAATTTTTCATTTATATACATTCAAACTAAAATAAACTATTCAATCCAATATATTCAAATCCATTCACAATTAAATTTTGTTTCAAAGAAAAATATCATTTTCAAATAAATCGAAAATTATTACTTAACAAGATCTAAATTATTACTACATATGTATATATTTTTACTTATAAATGTACATCCTTTAATTTCCATTATTTCGAATGAAATTAAAATCTATATTGATTATTGAAAATACTATATAGATATCCTTTTTTTTTGGTAATAAACAAATTGCAGATCAATGTCTTTTAATGTCAGTATTAATGCACAGAAGATTTTAATTTTAATTTAAAAAATATTAAATTACTTTATGTGCGCCTATATACAAGTATACTATTTAAAATCTTATATATTTTAAAAATATTGAACTAAATTTAGAATATTGAACTTAAAAATAATAAATAGAAAATTTTAATTTAAGTAAGTAATGAAATTGATTTTGATGCATTTATATTTACATACATATATTTGCATATAATATAAATAAAATATTTGTATGTTCATATTAGATTTATGCAGGTATAATTATCAAATTATCTGTAATTAAATTTCCTAAGGATATATTGTAAAAATAATGAATAACATTTTATATTACATTTGAGTAAATTTTTATATTATATATGTATGTACAGATCCATTAAATGTTATGTATATAGAATGTATACATAATATATAATATTGTATTTTTGATTTGTATATAATGTTTATGTAGATATTAAATTAGAAATGAGATTTTCAATAATTTATATTTATTTAATTACTTGTAGATATTCCAGAAACAATTGTACGATTGGGTACATCACTTGATCCAAATGCAATTAGAGAAGGAACAGATGTCTATTTTGATTGTTTAATCACAGCACATCCTAGTGTTTATAAAGTTGAATGGCGACATAATGTAAGAACCTAAAATTATAAAAAAATTTCTTTTTCTTTATTTACTTTTTTTATTTTATTTCAAAAAATAAATTACAATTTATTCATAATAATATACAAACACAAATATTATAAATATCATACACATATTATTTATATAGTTGACATAAAATATTTTAAAAAATAATTTATTTAATCACATATATAAAATTCTTGATAAGATTAAATTTTTGAAGTATGAAATTACAAGTATTCTATTGAGATTTTATTTTAAAATAAACACATATACATTCATATCTAGGTATTTATATAGATACATAATCCTTTCAAATAAAAAACAGCCTACATTTTTCTCAAATTTTTTTTTATTTTATTTATTTTTTATATTAATTAATAATATAGCAAATATTTTCGAATAACTATACAGAATATAAATTAATATTTAAGTTTATTAAGTAAATATAAACAAGTAGTACGGATGAAAAAATTGTAGAATTAAAAATTTATACTTAAATATTATTTCTCAATACATGTGCATATATAACATTATATATTTATTATGTATATATGAGAATATTTGTGTATATGTTTGCCTAATATTATGTACACATGCACGATTACATAATATATTTATGTACATAACTAAATGATTGTGTGTTCAAAAAATGCTAGTTCATGCAGAAGTCTATACTATATGTACATTTAGTATGTACATACTAACGTATATATTTTATGTACAAATAATAAAAGAAAATTTTTGATATCTAGAATTTCATTTTTATTTGTTCAATATTTTCGTTTTACGAAAATTTTTAGTTACATGTGTATGTAAACATATTGTGATTGGAATTTTAATTAAATAGGTATATTTTGTGTACCACAAATAACAATAAAGAAAATTTCATATAAAATGGTTGAATGGTATAATTTTTTTTTTTTTTTTTGTTAAGTTTTAATAATTTATATTGAAAATAACCAACATAAGATGATTTTGAATCCTTGGAATATTGAATTTTGAATACCTACTTTGTTTATACAAAAACCTATTGTGCGTCTTTATTCTAAAAAAATTCCATATTTTGAAAATGTTCATATTCATACATTAGGTATTAGAGCACTTCTATATTAGTTTTTTGTTAAAGTAAAGGTATTTAAAGGTTTTACTTTCACTACTAGCTAAGTATATTAATCGAATTGTATTTATTTGTTACAACCAACAGAGAAATAGGTATACCGCAGTTACTTTAACCGGTCATGTAAAATATTAACATATTTCATGTAAGGTAATAATATTTTGAACACCATCCTAAACTATAATAGAATCTAATTAAAATTATTATGTTTTTAAAACATATTCTTTAAAAAAATAAATTTAGTTGTTAATTACCATTTTAGATTGTAGATTGCAAAAAAGGGGTAACAGTGTGTTAATTAGCATTTCCGATATCCTTAAATTTATCTATTTCATTAATTTCATCAAAATTAGAACTAATTTAAGTAATTGATTAAATTTTTGAACTTTAAATTCGGCAAATCCTTAATTTAAAGAAAAATTTCGTATATTTAATTCTGATTATGATTACCTACAATATGTATTACAGGTAATCATGTAAGATTACAGGTTTATTAATATTTAATATCACATAATATATTATAATTATTTATAAAGTTGAAATTGTAATTAAATAAATATCTCATTTTTTACTCTTAACTTAATAAGTTGCAATTAATTTTCCTCTTCTTTGCAATCACTTCATTATTAATAATTTTGTTACACGATAATTGTTTTGTGTATTGCGTTTTTCGGAAGTATGATAATAACACTTCAGACAAAAATACGAAAATTTTTAATATAAAATAAAAAAAATTTTTTCAATTAAATTTTAACTTAAGGATAATTGATTTTCAATTTAAATTACTTTTGTAAAGAGTTCATGGAATGGGCTATATTTTCCTTGTTTCTTAATTAAAATATTTACCTATAAGCAATTAAGTTTTTAAAATAAGAAATTCTTTTTCTTCTGAATTCTGCTATCTCTTTTAAAAATTTTAAATGTTAATTAATTATAAGTTCTCCGGTATTTTATTGCGTCAACGATTGTGATTCATTACCAGTCGAATCAAGACGAAAAGATTAAGTTATAATGAGTACAAAATATAAAATTTTGTATTAATCTTGTAAAATTTTTTACAAAAACAGTGCATTATCCAAAATTAATATTTTCATTAAATGCTTATGAACTAGCAAATAAGTTAAATAAATTTTAATCTTAACTAATTATTTAAATTTTAATTAAAAGCTAAAATTTAATTTTAAAATTAGGATTAAAAAAAATAGGATAACAAAATATTATTTTTAATTTCTTTCTTTGGAAACTTAAAAAACAACATTTTTCGGAATACTCTTATTTCCCATAAATGTCTGGTAATCTTTAATCTTATTTTGAAATTTTATCTGTACAAATACTTCTGAAGGTTACCAAGTTTTAAATATAAATAAATCCACTCATTTTTCTCATGTCTGCTTTTGTTACGTATTTACACTATGTTCACAATAACTTTTCATAAATTTACTTTTAATTTTTATAATTTTTCATTATATTGTTCTCTATGTATTTTGTTTCATTAATATAAAAAATTGTACATAGCACAATAGTAAAACTAAATTTATATACAATTATTATATATAATGTAAAAACAACATTCGCCATACCTATTATGAATGTACAACAATAAAATAACATTTATATTAAATTTTACACCGTACCTCTTAAGAATTATCCTCAATTTTAATCCTTTTACTTTATTTTGTTTTTGTTCTTTTTCTCTCTTTTTTACATTTTCATGTTTATTTACTACAAAATTACTTCAACTTGGCTTCGTGTTCGCTTTTTGCTATTTGGTTCTGATATGCGGATATGGTTGTATAATCAAACATTAACTCATATTTCTACATTGCTGTTGGGCGACGATGTAAACAATAATACACTAAAATATAATGGTCTGGAATATATAAAACAAATTCAATGTTGTTTTCGTACACACTTCTTATAAACTTATTTTACTTTATATACTTATTTATTTTACTGTGATGTCCTTATGTATCATACTTTTGGATTTAAAACGGAAACAATAAAATATTAAAATTATAAAAATGGAAAAATGGTAAAACAATAACGAAATTGAACAAAAAACAAAAAAATAAATTTATATAGGGACGTCCGCTTCCACATAACATTTCACAAGGTGTAATTATAAGTAATCACTCTTTGGTGTTGCAAGGTGTATCAAGAGCCACAGCTGGTAATTATTCATGTGTGGGTCATAATGCTGAAGGTGATGGCATAAGTCCACCATTTAAGTTAAATATTTTATGTAAGTATATTTTTTTTCATACAAATATTTTTTTACATTTTTAGTGTACGACATAAAGTATGACATATATATATGCAATTTAAGTTAAAAGTTTCTTATATAATATTAGGCTATGTGTTTATGATTTTATTGTATTATATTTAGAACTTTTAGCAAAAGGTGTTGAATGGCAATAAAATGAAAGTAAATTAACAAAATAAAATTGGAGATCCTTATAACCACTTAAGATTTTCTGCTATTTTAATTATGTGTTTAGAATATAATTAATAAAAAGTGTTTAATTTTTAATTATTTATTCATTTGATTGTCGTAAATTGTTGAATTTGAAATTACTGCCGGCACAACAAGTAAAATAGAACTGGATCATAATACAAGTCTGGCTCCCACTGGGCTAAAACTGAATTTCAAAATCAAAATAAATGAAAATTTACATTTTATTGAGAACAGTTTCCTTGCCTTCCTCTAATAATTGGAGAAACTCATTTCTGTTGGAATCTGGTCATGTAGAATTTGGTTTTTTATCTGTATCAAATCACAAAGTCTTGATTAGAGCAATTGATTACCTAAAAAGTAATACGATTTACTTTAATCAATCGGGTAATAGAAAATAAAAAATAAAACAAATTTGAAAATTCGCAACAAAAACTATTTAAACTAAGTCTCTTAAATGATTTTCTAAAAAGTTTTTAGAATTAATGCTCATCAGCTTGCATTTATCGTTTAAAATATTCTCGAAACTATCAGAAACCAATGTGAATATTAAAAATTTAATTTGCTTTAATATTTTTAACAAAACAAATTTTTTCTAAAAATTTTAACTAAATTTTTTTTTCTAAAACTACTTTATAAATATAATTAATTTGACACGAATTGTTGCAAATGCAATTAATTATATTTTATTAGCAATTATGAGAGAATTAATTTGTGGTTTTTGAAATTTTCAACCAATTACATATTTTATTTTATTTATTTTTTATTACATATTATGTAGGTTAATAATATTACGTATACGTATATACACATACATACAATATTCTAATAATAACTTCCTATTACGATTTTTACATGACTGCAAATTTAAAAGTTATATTTTTATAAAATTTTATTGGTTTATATATAATATTTTTAATAATTTCTTGTAAATTTTTACAATAATTAAAATTGCCGATCAATATGAAACTGTGGTATTAAACAAATCACTTCATAAAGAGATGCAGGCAAATCTATACCAATATAATATAATTTAATGTAGGTATTTAAATACGAATTTTAAATAATAACCAACGGAATATGGAACGAAATTCTGGGAACCCAATAGTACCATGTATAGTATAATGGTAATGCAATACAATATTAATTTTCTCATTTTTTATATAAACATACCAATATAATATGGTATTTTATGATTCTCTGAATACAAATCAAATCAAATTTTAATCAATGTAAAAAAGTACTTGATTGCTAACAATAAATAAAAAATATTTTTTTAAAAGTCCATCAACATTTTAAGATTTCTATGTGTGTCGCTGATTATTATTTTACGTGACACAATGTACTAAATAATTATTAGGCAAATTAATAACTTATGTGACTCTTAACAATAGAAATCTGAATATATATATTTTTTAAAATATCTAATTATTGAAAAGTTCCAAATGATATTGTGGTAGCATTTAAAAATTTATTTATAATTTCATACTTTTACGTAATTCATAAACAAAGCTACAAAGTCCCTATTAAAATTAATTGAACCAAAAATTTTAAATGTATTTTGTTATAAAAAGCACTTAATATTCCCAAATTGGTTACATTTTGAGTAAATGGAGCCAATTTTTAAATGATATCCAATATGGGGAAACATTTTTCTTATTTTTTTTTTTTCAAAAATAATTTTCCACAAAAATTAATTTTATTAATTTTTAAAATATAATAAATTTATATCGAATTTTTTTTTTTGCAAAATATCCAAATTATATTACAACTAATATAATACAAAAATATATGTATGAATTATAATACATGTACGTATTTAACGTGTATCGTATAACAACCATGGTCGTCAAATAAAACACTAACCACAAATATGATTTTTTTTAAATTAAAATATTTAATATTATGCTTACATGTGTATTGACATAAACGTGTATATGTATGTACATAAGTATGCAAAATATGCTATCATGAAAAATCTTATGTAATATAAAATTTTTGAAAAAGGCCTCGAATTTATCTTTTTAAGATTATTTTTGTTTTTGACACATAATTACATATATTCATTTATTATAAAATTATTCATGAACATTTATTCTGGTACATTTATTCTGCTAATCTTTTTACAAAAAATTTTTTAAAAGATGACCCATACTGATGAGAACAAAAATCTACTGAAACATAAATTCGATATAATCTTATAATCACTAAGAAAATCGAACAGAAGCTGAAAAAACAATTAATGGCTAATTTAACGAGATTTTCTACAAATATCTATGTATGTATTATGAATGCATCAATTTCCAATTCAATTCCAGGCATTATGCTTTTGTTTTTTTTGAAAAACTTACAAATATGTATGCAGGGCTATTATTCGATTACTCAGTTCTATAATATTAAAATTACTTTCTCAGATACAAAATATTTGAATTGAATAATTGACATTTGAGGGACATAAAATGTTTTATTTCTTCAAAAATTTCCTTTTTAAAAAAATTTTTCAAATAAAACAAAAAACGAATCCGATTTATAAATTATTTTTCAAATATTCATGTATGTATGTAGATATTTTTGAACTAAATCAAGTTTTCCTTTTTTTTACGGAAAAATTTATTGTCATTTTTTTGTTTAATTAGGCAAATTAAATTTATTCGAATAATTTTTAAATATTGGATTTTCAATATGTAAAAGATTTAAAATAAAAAAGCTATGATATAAACACAAACATACAAATGTAAGAATTTTAGAATTTGAAAAATGTGTTCATTAATATTGCCCGAAAAATTTAAATTTGTAAAATTTATTGAAGATATTTGCCATTCAATACATTATAGGTAATTTTGTAATTATTCTTTATCAATTTTAAATTTAAATTTTCTTTTGCAATCTTTAACAACATATGATTTTTATTAGATGCACCAACTTGTATGCCAAATCAACCTCGAATTTATGGTGTAGCTAAACAAGAAGATGCTAAAATTAAATGTATTGTTGATGCCAATCCACCAGATGTTGAATTCAAATGGACATTCAATAATTCAGCTGAAAGCATAGATGTAGCAACAAGTCATATAAGTAGATCAGGTATAATAATGTTTAAATTTCAGTTTATTTTCTAAAGTCTGAACATTTTAAAAAATTGTCCTTTTGCATGCATGTATGTAAAAATTTGTTCGGAATTAGTTTTATATTTAAAACAACATAATTTAGCTTTCTAAATTATTATTTTCAAAATCATAATTTTTATTTAAAATGTCGACATCAAATACTATAAAGTGAGTATAACACGTAGGAACATACGCGGAATTAAATCCATACATAGAACTTACCAAAAAATATTTGTATACGTATACATCTTCTTATTGCTATTGCTGTTTGAATAAGTGTTACAAAACAAACCTGTAGTATTTTCACAGTTTTATCCAATTGAGATTAAATATAAAATATTTCAAAGTTTCCAAGAAAAATTCTGGGTGGTCTTTTAAAATAATGAGTTCCATCTGATAAATTTCTACTCCATTTTCTTTTAAATAAATTTTGAACACTTGAATTACTATTCTAATTTAATTTTTTAATTCTTTTAAAAAAAAATTTAATAATTGGTTTTGAATATAATTTTAAAAATAATTTAAATATAGGCACTTCATCAACTGTCACATATACACCGGTAACAGAATTGGATTATGGCACCTTATTGTGTATAGCTTCAAATAAAATTGGTCGACAGAAAGTTCCATGCGTATTTCATATTATAGCAGCTGGTAAGTATTTAAAAATAATTAATATTTACTAGTAACAAGTATTGTTCTGCAATAATCATTCTGCTGAATGTATAGCTAAATACGAATATTCTGAGTATGTTAATGGTTTTTTTTAACCCTTATACAAATACAACATAATTAAAAAATGTAAGGACTTTGATTGATTTTTTTATAAAAAAGTTAATAATTTTTATGTGAGAACGTAACAAAGCTTAAAATATTGTGCCTAATGTTATGCAATATTTTATGTAGTTGAGATTAATTTGAAATTTTCAATTATTTCAGTTTATATTTTTAAGTAAATATTATATAAATTGCAGTCATTTTCAATTAAGACTGTTGTTAATTGAGTATTAAAATTTTACAAATAAAACTGTCAATAAAATTGATCAAACTGTACATAAATTTATAATATATAAATTCTGAATCAATTTCAATTTATGTGAAATGCTTTTTTAATATTTAACAAGAATTATACATTAACTTAATTAAAAATATTTTAAGTTCATTGAAATAATAATAAAAAAAAATTAACAACAATAAATTACGAGTTTATATAGTTACATATACAGTCGAACCCATACATAATGAACTCGCATAAAAGCAAACTCAATTGTTAGATAATCAAAATTAGTTTTTCGATATTTTCTACCTTTTTATTCGTAATTAACAACTTTATAGGCATATCGGAAACAAGCAAAAGTTTCTTATACAAACGCAAATAAACTTAATTTTGATTTGTTAATTTCATCGAAATTGTTAATATCAATTCAATTCTGATAAGTTTCAGCTGACTACTAAGTTCGTTTATAAGAATAAAGCCGATATAAGCAACGAAAATCGTAATTTTCAATGTGCTTATAACCTGGTCCGACTGTACTTAATACTCATACTTATATACATACCTATGTAATTATCCTGTAGTGTACCTGCAGTTATTTACATAAAATTAAACTTTTTTTTTAAATATTTATTGATGAAATCTCTGGTTTTTATTATGTAAAAAATGTAATTATGTATACGAGCATATTATTATTACGGGAGAATAAACAAACGTAAAAATGTATTTTATTTCTGTTATACAAAATGTTATAATTAATTTTATTAATTTTTTAATAAAACCAAATATTAAAATTTTAATTATTTTATAATAATTTTATATATATTTTTATTATTTTGATTTTGTATATTCCATTGTACAAACAGGTCGGCCTGATCAGGTACATAATTGTACATTAACCAACATATCAATGACATCATTAACTATTAAATGTACTGATGGATTTAATGGTGGTTTACCACAATCTTTTATGCTAGAAGTTAAAGATTTACAATCACATGTAAGTTTAATTTATATATAAATTATCCGATCATAAAATTTATAAATTGAATTTGTCTAAAACAGTGATTTTTATTTTCATTTACTGGAATTTGATAGTAGTAAAATAATTTTTTTAAACAATAGTCTTTAGTTGTTGTGGTGTGAGATAGTTTGGTCCACACCTCACATGGATTTTCCATCACATGGCTCGACCGCCTAGACCAATTTTCATCATTGGATGTTCAATGATGAACTTCATCAAGCCCTCCATCAAGCATTTTTCAGTTTTCGCATATTCTCAAGATATGTGCCGCTATTATCGACATCAAATGTCGACAAAGCCTAAATGAGTCTAACTTATCTAAAAAATCAGTTTGAAATACATTTATGTAAATTTAAATGCAATTTGATCATTGCAGTGAAATGACATGACGAAAAAATAAATTTGCTTACAATGGAAAATAAAACACCGCTTCTTCTGGTAGCTGCCATACAACTTCAAAAGTTATTTGGCTATATCTCAGAAACTATAAAAGCTATGATTTTGAAATTTCACGCAAGAAAATATACTAGTAGGGCTAATGTGTTTGATAAAAGTTGCTGAAATTGCTGAACTCCTTGTACTAGCTGCCATACAACTTAAAAAGTTATTTGGTCATTTCTTTGGAAATATTTAAATCAGAAATTAATATGGTACAATGGCAACTTGAAGTCATAGTCTGTACCATAGTCACCTATGATTTATTTATTCGCACGTAGGATAAGAATTTCGTACGGGTATCACAGAGTCGACATGGTCAACTCTATTTTTTCTTGTTTTATATAAATTTTGTTTTAAAATTACTCGTACATTGAAAATGTCAAATTAGCCTTCGTTGAAAGCAGCAACTTGACTCAAATGCATATAGTTTTGCTTTTTATTTTTATCAAAATTTTTATTCATGTACATGAAAAAATTCTCATTCAATAAAATTTACATAAAATAATATTTACATAAATTTTTTCAATAACATGTGCATATATTACAAGAAATTTATTTACATTAAAAATAAATATTTTTATACATTACGTCATACATGAAATATTGTACGTACAAACTTTAATTTCCATTCCATTATATTTTCATTTCATCTTTTTTTTACAGGAAATAAAGGCAAATGTTACATCGCCTATACCAAGATTTACAGTATCAACTCTTTCACCTGGAGGTCACTATATTTTATCAATATATGCATTTAATTCGAAAGGTAGATCTGATCCAGCAAATATAAATGCAGATATGCTTAAGATGCCTGAAAAACAGCTGACATCTGAAAAAGGTAAAAATATTTATAAAGGCATTTAATTTATTTTTCCTTTTATATTCTGTCTTTTAATACTCTATTCTTGATCTTAAATTTACTGGCTTTTATTAAAATTTAATATACATGCATGTATGTGTATAAAAATACACAATACTAATATTATGTTGCTAAAATAATATTGAATATTTCATTATTATTGAGTTAACTGTAAAGGATATAAGAAATTAACTTGGAAAGATTTAAATAGAAATCATACACCACAATATATATAAAATTAAAAATTATACAACTATATAGTCTTAGTATAAAAAATAATATATGTATGAGTGTTGTATATTGCATATAGGTTAGCATACTGCACAATATAATTGTTGTGGTTAAAACTTTAGGATAGTAAAAATCATAAACTTATAGATAATGTTATAACAATCATTTTGCAGGGATGAAACGATATTCGTTCTATGAATTGAGATGAACTATAATTTCCCAATCATTGGGAAGCCAAGTGATAACAAAATAATTCTTTTTGTTTATCAGTCATATATTAGTATGCAGAAAATATTTTTCTTTTTCTTAAAATTTTCTTTTAAACCCTATTGATGTAATACTGCTATATTTAAAAGGATAACATATCTCCCAAGTGAGAAATTACAATTAAACTTTGGAGAAAGTAAAACATAAAAAATATAAAATTAATTATTCATCATCACATATAATTTCACGAAATTAATTTATAAGAAATTGAAAATTTTGAATTTTAATTTTTTAATTTTGTTCCTTAACAAAGAATTTTTTGTGACAGCACAAACTTCAGCTCAATATTGTTCTAAGATAATATAATGTTGATGGCCTTTTATATGCATTTGAAAATTAATATTTGAAAAACCTAACATTTATTATCCAAGTTTAAAATATTTTATAATAAAATTTAATTCAATTAAAAATAGATTCTTGGTATTGCTTTCTGGGAACTAGATGTACATACTTAATTATTAAAAGATGTATATTTCATTTTCAAATATCCATATATTAAATGAAGAACCTCTACCTCCATTATGTCAAATAAAATGTGAAAAAATGCCCTTATTTAATAAGTTAATGTCAATTCTAATTATTATTGATTATTGTTTGCATGATGGCATCACTGATTATATAATTATAAGGATGAATATAATATATCCAATTGCAATGATTCCTAAAAACCATATTTTATTTAATTGAGCCAGAAATAAAACCACATTTCATTATTCATATACTTGGTAGACATTATTCTACTGAAGATTATAGTTACAAAAAAATATTTCAAATAATTCTATGTGTATATATTTTAAAATATCCAAGTAAATAGCAAGAATATATTATATATATATATTTTTGAAAATATATTATAATATGGGATACAGTTTATATCAATAATCTTATTGACCATATAAAATTGGTTTCATTTGCAAATTAATATTACAAGGTTTTTCTATTACATTCAAATTAATGTTAGAAAGATAAGAAAACAAATAATTGGAGTATTTTCTTCTTTATTTGTTGAAACAGTTATAAGTATATACATATTAGTATTAATACATCTATTGAGTCATTGTTGCACAATCAATACTTACGTCACATTGAAATCTTATACAAAATGATTCTCTATTCAGCAGAGCAGTTGATTTTAAAATATGCTCTCATATAAATAAAATTAAGAAGAGTTTATAATTCGAAAACAATTTTAAAAAAATTTATGATTAAAACTCAAATTTAATCCTTAATGTGATTTTAAGTCAAATCCAATATACATCTCAGATATCAATATGCGAAAAAATTGTAATATCTTTAACAAACAAACTTTTAGCAGGAACTTCAGCTCGATATTGTTCTAAGATAATATAATGCATTTGAAAATTAATTTCAAACAAATCTTCACCCACTTTCTTAGTCTTATCAAGTGAAATTTAATTTCTGAAGCCTAAACGAAATAAATATTATTAATAAATTCACTTAATTAACTTAGATCAAGTTCAAAAAATGATTTTTAGTTTTTAAAAAAAAAAACTCGCTGGTTAGTGCTATCTTTAATTTCCTAAGGCAGCTCTTTGTTAGCAATATTGAGTGGCACATCTATTAAATCTCACGCGAAGCAATGTGATTCTTACTTTTGTTGCATTTCTTGCGTGAGAGTGTACTTCATTATTAATACTAAGTCGAATTATACTATTTTAGAATTTTAATTTAATAAAATTTATTTTTTGTTATTACAAAATATTTTAAATTTAGAATAATTATATGTAAATAAGAGTGTCTTAAATTTATCTTTTTCAGAAAAACCTCAACAAGCTTTTTTATTATCGCCCGTACTATCCTTAACAATAGGTTTAACATTAGCTGTAATGGTTGCTGGTTTTGCTGTGATTTTAGCTCTACGCATTCCATGTAAAAATTCAAGACGTAGTCGAAAAGAATTATCAACAGACAATACATCAAGGGATGGATCACCGGGACCAAGTGATAAAAGTACTGGTAGCAAAGAAATCGATGGTAATGAAAGTGATGAAAAAAATCCTGATATTATACCGGAAACAATAGATTCAGATGATCAGGTAACATTAAAATTTACATCAATTTTTTTATAATACGTTAAAATATTCAAAAATATTTGCATAGTTTCACACCAATTTCCAAAAAAAATGAAAAATTACTTATTAGAATTAGCAATGTTATATGTAAATATTGTAAAAAACTAACTATCGTTATTCCTAATAATCCTTAAAATATTACTTTAAGGATATAAAATTCAATTTTTTTAAAATATTATTTGCTCATCCCTAAAGATACGCCTAAAGATATGCAATATTAAATTGTAAAACAAAAATTTATTTAAATTATTTAATTTTGATTTTCAAACGTTCTTAAAATAATATTTTTTGTATAGATAATTGTTGTTGTTTTTAAAACAAATGTACAAAATAAAGAATTAATTTACTTAGTCGGAAAATAGAAAATCAAATAACCTAAAATGCTCTTTTAATTAATATCCGTACAAATTTTATTAAAGTTAACTTTAATCTAAATTTTTCCTTGGTACTGTAATTTCCTTTCAATAAAGACAAACATATTTACATTTGTATATTGGGATCATATAACATTGAATTGCTTTAAAACGTTCTGGTGCTAATTTACTCATTTCCCTGGTTTAGGTTTCATTTGAAAATTTATTATCCTTTAGTTCTTTACAGAGTTTTTTTTTCATGAAATCGGAAGAAAAATAAATCTGAAAAGAAAAAAAAATGGCTGAAAATACAATTCTAAAAATTACTCTGAATTGAAAAATAGAGAAAACTAAAGACAAGAAAAAAAAACAATAGAATAAAATAGTTTTTAACTAAATTGATTTTCAAATGAAAAATACCCATAGATATTCATATACAACAGTATAACGTATACATGTATGGTTACAACGAGAAGAAAAGAAAATGATTTACGAATACTAGAGAGAAAAACAGTTGAATTTCCATAGAATTTTATAAAATTGTATACGTACACACATAATAAAATTATACTAGATATCTATATACAATTTAAGAAAATGAAAAACAAACAAATAAATCTTTATATCATTGCATCTGATGATGGTGTTAAAGTTCCACATAAAAATCCATAATTCTTTTTTACGCTCCAAAATTGTTAGATTTTCATTTTTTCTTTTATTTGCAAATTTCTGTAAAAAATATTCGAACTCTGCCAAAAACAAAGATGATAAAGAATGCAAACAAAGAAAACAAGAAAACAAAAAATAAGAAAACGTGATGTTTTTATTATTTTTCGAATTCAATTCTTTGTATTTAACCTTTTTTCATACTATGATTTTTTTGTTCCTTAAAGTTCAATGCACAAACTGATTCAATACCAGCAAAATGCAATTAATCTTTTGTTTCATTATGATCTACATTTACTTCCAAGATTTTACAATAATTTTGATTTTTCTTCATTTGCTTCAACTTTTTGTATACGACGTTTCTTTATAGAATGTAATTTGGTCCCTTAAACTTTTTTTTTTTATATTAATTTTGTTTTCTTGTTATTGATCCCATCACCATTTTTTTAATATTTTTTCTTTTTTGTTTTTGTACTCATTCAAACTTTCATTATTATATTACATGCTTTCTTTTTATAATAATTTTCATTTTATTTTCTTTTCTTTTCATATATTTTTTAATTAAAGATCGATTATATAAGAAGACGCCAGCATATATCTACAATAGATACAAGTAGTCCAACTAGAGGTCTTTTATCATCTGGTACGCCTCCACCTCAAAAGTACAATTCATCTGGTATGACATTACATACATCCCACAATGCAATGGGATATTGTACATTACGTAGCGGTTCACAACCGCCAGTTTCTGTTGGAAATGCTGCTGCTGCAGCAGCTCTATCAATGGTAAGTAAATCAATACTTGTAAATGCATACATAAATTGTGTATGTATGTACAAATTATTTCCTTTTTTTTGTTACATACACACAATCCTATGTAATTGCAATTATTAAAAGAGAAACGTAAATATGTATAATATACATATAGTTTAGTTTAAGTTGATTATACTGTAAAGATGTATGGAAAATGAATATAATACATTGAAACTTTTTGACTGAAACCAAGAATTATTGTTTTCAAAACTGCTTTCATAATTATATTTAAAAAATGTGCCAAGGTCTTTATTATACGTGTTTGAAATTCTGAATTTCTATTAAGATTTATGGATGCATAACATATTTTGTTTATACATAGTTCATGAAATTTCAGTATCTACATATTATTATGTATATACTTGAATATAATGTCCTTCAAAATTTGAATTTGAAAAATATTATCTTGCAACTTAACTGTGTATTAATTAAATTTAATGTTTTGAATATTTTCTCTATAGTGTTATAAATATTTTCCATGTCGCATTAGTGTTGAGTAACATTTAAACAAATCACATGTACTCGCATGCAGTAAAATGTAGTCTTAATTTTCAAAATTCTAATTCATTTATTCACTTGGAGAATTTTCAGAATACTATCTTAGTGTGTTTAAATGAAAAATAAAATTTTTCGAGCACAATATTCTTACGCTCCTCTCCCTCACTTTTATGTTCATAACCATTCAAAATTTTGGAAATATTTAAAGTGGTCAACGCTAAAATTTATTTCTTCTATCATAACAAATTTTAAACAAAGGTCAGATTAATTTATTTATGCTTCAAATTAATTAAGGCATAATGGAATAGAACGAAACTACATCTTCTAGCTAACGTTTGCAATAATTCAATTTTCGAACTACTTTCTCTCCTCAATATAAAAGTTGCAATGAAATTGCACAGTAGTAAGAATGTAACTATAGTAGCTCAATTATCAAAAGTATACCGTTAGGTACGTATGCATAATTCATACTAAAACTAATTGAAGATTCCGCCTGAATATATGCAATTTTTAACAGTTATGCTAAACCACTCCCTTATTTTCACTACTGTTACTAATAGCAACAAGTACCAGGTTCTAGACTAAAATTGTTGAAAAAGGAACATGTAGTATTTTGCAAAGCATGGGTTTATCAGCTATTCCTGTTTTGTGGTTAATTGGAAAAGAATTTCCAGGAAAATAACTTCTTCGTTTGAAATATTTACAAATTAAATTAGGACATTCCACAAATACAAATTTATTTTATACTTTTCAACTCATAGGATACTTTATTGGATATTATATTACAAATTTTTCCTTTGCAGTTATTGCAAATATTTTGTTTTTCTTAGAACGTAACACTCTTGTAACAATTTTACTTAAAAATTACTATATTTTAAAGAACAAAAAAAATATTACTTTAAAGGACAAAATAATATTTTAATAATTCATATATATTCATGTCCCTGTATATGTTTTTAACCCAAATCATGGACCCGTCTGAAAAAAAAAGAAAATTTATAACATGTAAATTTCCTTGTGTCAGCTGCATTTCAACTTTTATTTCATGCACAAATGAAAACTATATTTTGAATACGCATCCATTTGTATTTATTATGTGCATTGTATGTATATTAGTACACACTTTTATATACATGTTAATATACATACTTTAGTATATAGGGAAAACTTTGTCAACAGACCGTGTTCATAAAAACCCATTTTGTTTTTCTTTATTAAAAGGAAATAAAAAAAAATACTTGAACTATGTTGTGTGTCTAAATTGTAACTAACTCTTTTTTTTTCCTGCATTTTCATTCTGTATATTATCCTGTCTCTAGAGAATTAAAATGTCAAGCTTTCTTTTCTAATAAAGGGCTTCTATAAAATTTTAAAAAAGAAGATGATAGTGTACAGTTGTTTCGTAAGTATGAAAGACAAACTAATCAAACAATTAAAATTAGGTCAAATATTTCAAAATAGAAAACCAAACTGTCTATTGTAGGTGCATTTAAATGAAAAATAAAAAAAACAAAAACATAAAAGTTAACTTTGAGATCTATTATTGTCTATATACGGATAGAAAATTTTTAAGACAGTTCAATAAACTTTTACAAAACAAACAAGAAACAATATACTTCGCATATCTGAAACCACGATGTTTTTATATTCAATGCGTATAATATGATTGAAATGAGTACAAAACAGAAAAAAAAAACTTATTCATCGAATATTTCATTAGTGTATTACAATAATTGAAAAGAAAACCTTTTACTGCATCTTTTTCCAGGGCATATACATATTATCTACTAAAGTGCATTGAACAATTAAAAATCAGTTTGTAAGTATTTATATCAATTTAAAGATTTAAATTAAATTGAAAATATACAAATGTGTGTAAATTTTTAATCATGAAGTAGAAAAGAATCTTTAGAACTATTGAAAAACACTCTATGTAATAAGTTTTAACTTTGAATTTTCCTGTAACGTGGAACCTATTTTAAACTTAGTAATATTGTTTTAAAATTACATAAAATTTCCATTAAAAAATAAAATATAACTGAGGAAGTGAAATTTTAAAAATATTTCAATTAACTGAAAACCATGTTAAACTAAATGCTATTTGAAGCTGCAACTAAAAAACTTTTAATGGTTTGGGATACTCGATTCCTGAATATCCAATTTCCTTTTATTTGATTGTTTTTTTTAAATTTTAAATTATTCACTGAATTGTTCAGTTTTCCACTTTGCAGTTGGTCGTTGACGATAAAAAATTTATTCTATAAAATTGTTATTTAAAAATGTTTAGAATCTTAATTTTTCGTAAAAAAATAATAATGAGAATTTTTGAAGAACTAGTAAAATCTTTCCAGAAGTTTTGGATTTAGCAGAAAATGGAATATATCGGAACCTGATTGTAGGAGATATGTGATCTTATTTCATTTAAGGACGTAGTAGCGGACCATTAATGCTTAGAATAGTTAATAAATGCTGTTTATTTTAAATAGAATAAATTCAACCATATTGAATATAGTTTCATATAAATTCTCGTCGTTTTGTACAGAAAATACAGACACTTTTTTAAAACACCATGCAATAGGTCAGGAAACTAGACAAGAGAAAAACTAGACAAGAGAAAAATATGTATACAATTACAAATCTGTAATCATCATTCCAATCAAATCATATAGACTTAATGTTTGATATTATAAAGTTTAATTGGACAAATTACTGTCTTAAAATATAATAAATTTTGTTAACTCGCTCTGAGTATTTAAATAATTTCATTTGTTCCTGTCACATGATTCGGTTTCATGTTTGACTATTAAACTACATCCATTATTATGCAACTAAAGCTAATGCCTAGAATCTCAAATTAGGTTCCTTAAATTTCTAGCGAACATTTCAAAACTATTTCATCTTTCATAAAAGATATTTTTCATTTAAATAATTTTGTTTTACTAAAAATAAAGGAATTATTATTTCAAATATTCGAAGAAAATATCATAGAAAATTAAACAAACAGATGCATGCAAGCATACATCACATATAAATATTTGTTTTCGATTTAAGAAATACTCTTAAATTTATTTTCTAAACAAATATATAAAATAAATTTTGTAATTTGAATTTTCGAGAATAAAATCTATTCAATATAATATTTAAGCAAACAAAATAAAAATAAAATGTTTACACTTTAAAGAAAATATTTTAAAATCATGTTAAATAATATTTTAATATTCAATCTATTTTCTATTTTATTTTTCTATTCTATAAAACATTAAAATATTGCAAAAAAAAATTTTTGAGTTTCATAGAAATTACAAAAATTTTATTTTTAATACCGAATTTTTTATTTTAATTATAAATGAAATTCGAATACAAATAATGGTTTGTAAATAATTCATTTTTATTAAAAAAGAGTGCAGGGAAAGCCATGACTAATATCAAATATAAAATTTTTAACTCTATACCAATCAGGTAAAAGTGTTAGGTACATGTGAATTTGATATTACCGCTATAGACCTACTGACCACCAGAATTATCATTTCCATCATCAAATTTTCTTTCAATATTTTTAATATTCTTTATATTAAATAATTTACTACTTAATTTTTGGAATATTTTAATTCATAAATTATTAAAGGGTAACATTATTGGTAATTTTAAAATAAGTGCAATAAAAATCGGATATCGTCAGCACATAACCGATCGCAATTATCTGGTTAATGGAAAGTGCTACAGAATATTATAAAAATGCCTGTTAAATGATTCTTTCTAATTTTTACGACTTTAGTTAACACACCTAGAAAAATGTAAATTTGACTCTTAATAGAGTTTCGCTTTTTGCTATCCGAGTTCCGTGAAATGCTCGCCATTTAGTTTTGGTAACAATTAGAACTCAAATATCAAATTCCATCAATTAGTTTCATAAACATGATAAAAAATGTGAATGCGGCCCCTAGTTCGGTTTCCGAGACCAAACTTTAACATATACGTTTAGACATTTTATTAGATATTTCGAAGGGTAGAGTGGTTCGATAAGAATAATTTAAGGTGGTTAATAAGGAATAATAAGGTTGGTTAATAAGAATATTTGTTACCTTTTGTTAAGTTGGTAGAATGATCAACTTTTTATTCATATAGAAACAGAAAACCTCTTTTAAATTTTAAGTAAAATAAACGAAAAAAATATATTTTAATGTTAATTATTTTTTGTCCATTCACTGTCTTTCCAAAGATTGAAAATATATTGATCAACACACCCGCGCACATAAACTTTATTTAAATTTCAACTAATACACTAACGATTGGTTAAAAAATCCACTAGCGGTTCAATGTGTTGAAAAATTATGTTGGAGGTTCCAATCTGGGCCATGTAGTGGGCGAGAAGTATCAGAGTTAATGGTATAATTTAGATCGTTTTACGAGTATTTCTTTATTTGGTAACCCTTCTAGTAGTACACATTTATCTAAAAACATGCTGCTATGATTTC